CAAATGCTTTGCTTAAAAAAAAAAAAAAAAAAAACTAACCACTCCCTTCAACCCCCTCAGAAAATAAATTTCAATGTGTTCACTGAATTAGCTTAAAACCTACATTTGGTTATCAGTCCCCAGGCAATGGCTAATATTTACAGAACTTGAACAATCATACGATTATGTCTCAAATGTGAAGACTTTCAACAGTAATATTTTCAGTTTCTAAATGATCCATAGAACAGTCAAGAATTATAAATGTGTATGTGGATTTTTTAAGTACACAAAGTTCAACCAGCCTGCAGAGAAGTAAAACTATCCGTTCTGCATTGAGATAACTACTACAGAAACATTTCAGTTTTACAATACGGTGTGTGGGCTTCATAACACGTCAGATGCTAGAATGTGTGGGGTACGAGTAAAAAACGCTAAAACACGAAGCAATTCTCATTTCACTCAGGGTTCTTAAATGTCATAATATCTCGGGTTATAATATACATTTTGGTCTCTGATGGTATCTTGCTAATTCCTTTTGACTTCGATTCTGTCGTAAAATCAGAGACTTCCAGACTCATTTAAAATGAAGAAGATTTAAGTAGTGGACCTGTTCTTGCTCTGCAGAACTCATGTGACTTTTTAGGAAATCCAACCTCGGGCACAGTCATGTGAAATATTGATCCCCTTGCATTAATTCTCGATCGTTTTGTTTCTTTTTTAAAAAGGCAGTGGGAGAAATGGGTCAGAGGGAGTTTCAAAAATGACATGGATCCTTGCTCTGAAGGAAAGGGTTCATTTGCCAACGAAGAAAGGCCAACACATTTTTTTATTAGGAAAGCAGAACAGTCGTTTTCAAAGAATGACTGCGCCCTTACCTGTAGAATGTTTCTGCGCAAGCGCACTAATTTAGAATGTTTCTGCGCAAGCGCACTAATTTTCTACCGCCTGCATGCTGTATATAATCCATTTGCTTGTATACTAGGAAGGAAAACCAGGCTGCTCTCTTGTGTACGATGCAGCTGGGATGGCTGGGATCGTAAGCCTTCCGGGCATTTTTATACTGTACATATTTGTATGTACTAACTATATCGCCATGTATGAACACAGACTTTGTTATATCTGCCTGTTCCTGTTTCCTACCAAACTGGCCCACAATGGGGATTCTTTTGTATAGAAAAAAAAAAGTGCTTATAATTTTCTCTTGATCATTCTCTTTCAATAGCTCATGAAAGAATTAGATCTGAGTTTACAAAGAAATTATAAGCACCAAGTTCGTCTGTTGCATGAGACCCATCCAGTTGCTGGCTCTAGGGAGGAACCAACGTCCTAATTCAGTTTCCCTTTAAAGGCATGCTTTACCCCGTGGGAAAACTGCAAACTCATCCATGTAGAACTATCCTCTTTGTATTTTATCTAATAGTGCCTGAAAATTTTTTTTAATGTCTTCTTAGAGGAAGAATTCATAATTGTCAAAATTTGAAACATTAGCTTAATTTTGTTTTTATGACCTCGCGATTCTTCTCCTT